TTCTTAAAAAAAAAGCTTTTAACAGTGACGGTCGAGAAATTCCAGAAATTCTGGAGCTGCTGACATAGCCTCACAAAATATGAATGGATCTTAACCCAGATTCGTACACATATATCTGAGCTCCTCGCCATTGTGCTTCAGGTACTCCCCTAGCAATTAATAGTCTAGAACTCTGGACGCATCACTTAGCAACTCTGAAGAATGGAACTTACAAATGAGGGGAAAGCAATACATGCTAAATTCTTTTTTTTTTTTTTTTGAGACAGAGTCTCACTTTGTCCCTTGGTAGAGTGCTGTGGTGTCACAGCTCACAGCAACCTCCAACTCTTGGGTTCAAGTGATTCTCTTGCCTCAGCCTCCCAAGTAGCTGGGACTACAGGTGCCCACCACAACGCCTGGCTATCTTTTTAGAGATGAGACCTCACTCTTTCAGGCTGGTCTCCAACCTGTGAGCTCAGGGCAATCCAACCCACCTCAGCCTTCCAGAGTGCTGGGGATTACAGGCGTGAACCACCACCTCACCTGGTCCATGCTAAATTCTTTAGCCTGGCATTGATGGCCTTTTACAATTTGAACTAAAGTAAGTTTTCTTTAATGTCTCTGGTGTACAAAGCCTCAACTTAACCTAGTTTCCCCTAACACACTAAACTCATTCCTGTCTTTGCACCTTTGCTTAGGCAGGACCTACTTGAATTTGCCCAACTCCTCTGACTGTCCCAGCATGAACTGAACTTCTTTCCATTGATCTTTCATGGTGTTATGCCTATTCTGCTTATTTATTACCTAATCAGCATTCTCCACATCATAGATTCACTGTGTTTTGCTGAGAAAATAGAAGCAATCCAAAAAAAGACTGCTGTAATTCTAATGAATGCATACACCCTGTGTCTGTGCCTATATGTTCTTTCTTCCTGTTCCCATACCCTGTCCATTTGTGCAGTATATTTCAACAGGCCCTCTCACTGCACTCAAAGCTATTGTTCTATAATTCTTAGCAATTTTCTTTCTTTCTTTCTTTCTTTTTTTTTGAGACACAGTCTCACTATGTTGCCCTCAGTAGAGTGCTATAGTATCACAGCTCACAGCAACCTCAAACTCTTGGCCTTAAGCGATTCTCTTGCCTCAGCCTCCCAAGTAGCTGGGACTACAGGTGCCCACCACAATGCCTGGCTATTTTTTATTGCAGTTGTCATTGTTGTTCAGCTGGCCTGGATTGGGTTCGAACCCGCCAGCCTTGGTATATGTGGCTGGCGATGTAACCACTGTGCTATGGGTGCTGAGCAATTCTTAGCAATTTTTATCTCTCTCTCTCTCTCTTTTTTTTTTTTTTTTTTTTTTGAGACAAGGTCTTTGCCCTCTGTTTCTCATGTTGCACTGCAACTGGGATGAGAGGGGTCTGTTGAAATCTACTGCACAAATGGACAGGGTATCCATCGTCATTTGCACTGGCATCATCATAGCTCTCTGCCACCTCAACCTCCTGTGCTTAAGAAATCCTCTTGCCTCAGCCTCCTGACTAGGTAGGACTGACTACAAGTGGGTGCTACTACACCCAGCTAATTTTTAAAAACATTTTTTGTAGAGACAGAGTCTCACTATGTTGCTCAGGCTGCTCCTGAGCATCTGGCCTCAAGTGATTCTCTTGTCTCCTCAAGTGCTAAAGTGCTGGGATTACAAGTGTGAGCCCCGACCCTCAGACTACTTTTTTCGTTTTTTTTTTTTTTTTTTTTTTTAATATGGGTACTAGAAAATCCAAACGCCAAGCATGACCCTTTCAAGTCTTTGTATGTGTTGTTGCCTCTGCCTGCAATGTTCTGTCCAGGTAATTCACATGGCTCATCCCATCAGTTCCCTAGGTCATTCCTCAAATATAATTTTGCATAAGGCTTTCCCCGACCACTGTTTTCTCTTTCTTAAAAGAAGAACAAAGTTTAGAGCACTTCCAAAGAGAGTTGGAAGTGGGACCCTCTCATGGAGGAGGAAAGGCGAGAGACACCCCGGACCACTCTCTTTAACCTTTTGGTTTTTGCCCTTTTCCCCCGACTTGTCTTTCTTTGCCGGGAGAGGAAGCGTGAAGGGCAGGGATTTTTATGTCTCTTGTTTTTTCCTAGCTGAACAACAGTCACTGGCACATACCCTATTCATAGTAAGTATGCAACAAATACTTGTTGAACTAATGACAAGTTAGAGATCAAATTTTTAGCAAACTTTATTCCCTTCACAAAGTATACTTAGAACTTTTTCAAAATCAAAAGAGAGTATTTGTTTGACAAAGTGGCACTATCTCCAGGAAAATGTCAGGGATAAAATGTTTCTATTTTTTCTGTTTGAATCATTTATTTTTCTGACATAGAAGTGCTGGTGTTTTCCACTGAATTAAGGTTTACATGTTTATTTCATAATTTTGAAAAGTAACTAAGGCAATTTGATTAAAGAGCGTAGCAAAAACGCCTATTAGGGGAAAATTTTTTTACTGCTGACTCAGTAAAAGCAATCACAGGTATTTAATCAATCCTTTCATAAATATTTTTAAGAGTTTGAAAGGTAGGGGGTCCTCCTGTGTGATGGTACTGGTGAGGGTTTGGGCTGAAAACACAGACCAGTACTTAAGGGCTCTTTTTGCCCTCAAAAAGCTCTCTGCTCATAGATGCTACAAGAGTGAAACACAGCTATTTTCTCCCCAGTTACCTTTATAAGAAAGTTGAGATTTATTATCCCTGTTTGTAGATGAAGGAATTTCAAAATAAAAATTTCAAGTTGAGGGTGGTGCCTGTGGCTCAAAGGAGTAGGGCGCTGGCCCCATATGCCAGAAGGCAGGTTCATAATCTGGCCCAAGCCAAAAAATGCAAAAAAAAAAAAAAAAATTCACGTTGAGAATGAGGTATAGGGTGTTGTGTAAATTCCAACTCAAGAAAGGCATGTGAGACTCAGCCCCTTAGCTCAGTGGTTAGGGCACTGGCCACATACACCGGGGCTGGCGGGTTTGAACCCGGCCGAGGCCTGCCGAACAACAATGACAACTACAACCGAAAAATAGCTGGATGTTGTGGTGGGTGCCTGTGATCCCAGCTGCTTCGAAGGCTGAGGCAGGAGAATTGCTTGAGCCCAAGAGTTTGAGATTACTGTGAGCTGTGACACCACAGCACTCTACCCAGGGCGACATAGTGAGACTCTCTCTCCAAAAAAAAAGAGAAAAAATATATCGAGCTCTGTACATGAGACTAGTAATTCAAAAATAATTTTTATTTTAACTTACATGACTGAAAGTGATGAATACAAATGCCACAAAACTAAAAGCACATCCTGAACCAAACATAAAATACAGAAGTGAATACAAAAGGTATGGAGATATGGAATTAATTAGTCATGCAATATTCAAAAAATAAAAAACAAACCAAACATCTGTGTTTTGACTTTCTATAAAGAGAACCATTTCAACCATTTAACATAGACTATACATACTACCTATAGACTGTACAATGTAACTTTCAAATGAATATATGCATATATATAATATTTATAAATATACAAATATGTACATCGTAACTTCACAGTTGAAAGAACTATTTGCCAGAAGCTTGACAAACAATTTTCACTTAAAATGAAATGAGTCCTTTTTAAAAGTCTTGCTAAAATGTAATTATTTAAAACAACATCTAAATGAGATTTTATACAAACATGTCTGAAGTATAGGTAATATTTTGATCTTCCACAATTTAAATTACGCTCACATATTATTTTGATACCTTGGCATACCCCACCTTGTATATTCTGTAGAGGAAGAAAAGTTATTTAATAAGAGCTAATGAATGGTTTTGTACTTTGTTTAATGAACTTGCTACTCGGATACTGAAGCAATAATGAAAGCTGTGGTTTTAACTATTTGGCTAGGAAATCTACTGGTGTATAGTTTATCTGTGGCAGTAACTGTCTCTCAGGCTATCCTTCTTCTTCCTAGTCCCGTGGTTATTTTTACAGAAGTAAGGATTTCTCCTGTCTCATTAGCATTCCTCCAGCTTCTGGATCCTTCTACCTCAAAGAGCATCACAGCTTTGTTAATCCACAACTTTTGGTTTGTGTTTGTCTTAGCAGCAAAATACCTGTATGGTAAGAGTATCACAAAAAATGGCTTTTGGGGTGGCGCCTGTGGCTCAAAGGAGTAGGGTGACGGCCCCATATGCCGGAGGTGGCGGGTTCAAACCCAGCCCCAGCCAAAAAAAGAAAAGAAATGGCTTTCAGCTCGGCGCCTATAGCTCAAGCGGCTAAGGTACCAGCCACACACACCAGAGCTGGCGGGTTCGCCAAAACAACAATGACAACTACAACCAAAAAATAGCCTGGTGTTGTGGTGGGCACCTGTAGTCCCAGCTACTCAGGAGGCTGGGGCAAGAGAATCACTTAAGCCCAGGAGTTGGAGGTTGCTGTGAGCTGTGATGTCACCACACTCTACCCTGGGCAAAAAAAAAGGCTCTCATTAATTTGGAAAAAAAAAAAAAGCTTAAGCTTTGAGTTTTTTGTTTAAGAGTATGGGTATAATCTTAATAAGGTAGTTCTGTCTTTTTACCATAATGGAAACATGATCTTAGAATTTTCAGGATGGAGGAAAAAAGCAAAAGAAATGATGAAAGGTTAAAAAATAAAATAATTAAGTTCTTACAAAGGATCATTTTGCCAGGTTCTACAGGGAAACTGTTAGTTATAGAAATTATTTTTTGTGCTTTGTATTGAAAGTAAAATTAGGTAGCTAAGGGGGCCACTAAACCCTGAGAACACGACAGAGGAAAAACTGCAAGGCATGATATTTATTAAAGTATCTCATAACTATTTCAAGCTTTTAGAACAACTTCCAAAAAAGTACAAAGATAGCTACTTTTAAATTTCATACATACTAAGATAGTTCAGACACAATGAATGACATAATCTATTGAATTAGCCCTATTGTATTGGCCAAAGGAAAAGTAGTTAGATACTGTGAAACTGGAATTTGAATTCTTTCTATAACATGTTAAATTCCCGGATAACCTCGACAGAACTCTTCAAGTTATAAACACTTCCCAGCTAAATCACAGCACCATTTTGATGAAAAGGGCCAGATATTAAGACAGCTGTTGGGCAGAGTTAACTTGTAATTAAAAGGCTGTGGCAACTTCAGTTCCATGACGACCTCCAACTTTAACACAGTCTCGAGGGAATTTGTCCAACTGTTCATATGCCAGCCGCCCATCTTCTCCTAGATAAAGAACAGTAAACATGAATACCAATTCGAACTTAACTTTTTGATTTATGACTCAAAATAAATTAAATCAACTGTTTAGGTAGGGTTGCTGTAATTTGCTATGTTAACCTTGAGTAAAAAATAGTCCTCTTCTGTTTTTTATTATTATTATTATTTTGAGATAGAGTCTCATTATATTGCCCTCGATAGAGTGCTGTGGCATCATAGCTCACAGCAACTTAAAACTCATGGGATTAAGCAATTCTCTTGCCTCAGCCTCCCAAGTAGCTGGGACTACAGGCACATGCCACAATGCTCAACTATTTTTTGTTGCAGTTGTCATTGTTGTTTAGCTGGCCTGGGCTGGCTTTGAATCCCCCAGCCTTGGTGTACGTGGCTGACTCCATAACCACTGTGCTATGGGCTCCAAGCCCTCTTCTGTTATTTATTATTATTGTTATTATTTTTGAGACAGAGCCTCAAGCTGTCGCCCTGGGTAGAGTGCTGTGACATCACAGCTCACAGCAACCTCCCCAACTCCTGGGCTCAAGCAGTTCTCCTGCCTCTGCCTCCCAATTAGCTGGGCTCACAGGCACCCACCACAATGCCTGGGTATTTTTTAGTTGCAGCCATCATTGTTCTTTGGCAGGCCTGGGCTGGATTCAAACTCTCCAGCTCAGGTGTATGTGGCTGGCGCCTTAGCTGCTTGAGCCACAGGCACTGAGCGTATTTTTAATTATTCATTTTTTTTGCAATTTTTGGCTGGGGCTGGGTTTGAACCCACCACCTCTGGCATATGGGGCCGGTGCCCTACTCCTTTGAACCACAGGTGCCACCCCCTATTTTAAATTATTTATTGTTTAGAACAACCAACAACTTTTGAGCTAATGCCAGAGACCTAAAGAATGCTATGATATGAAATAGATTAGAAGGTTTTTTTTTTTTTTAGAGACAGTCTCACTTTCTCGCTCTTAGTTGAGTGCCATGGTGTCACAGCTCACAGCAACCTTCAATTCCTGGGCTTAGGCGGAGATTCTCTTGCCTCAGCCTCCTGAGTAGCTGGGACTACAGGCACCCGCCACAATGCCCAGCTATTTTTTGTTACAGTTTGGCCGGGGCTGGGTTCAAACCCGCCACCTTCACTATGTGGGGCTGGCACCCTACCCACTGAGCCATAGGCGCTGCCCAGATTAGAAGCTTTATGGCCATTTAATATTGATAATTTCATGTAGTAAATTTCTTTCTGAGCCATGACATGGATTACCTTTTAAGTACCTTAGGAACTAACTATTCATGAGTCAGTGATCCTTGACTTCAGTGCACTGAATTTTTGCCACGTAAATATTTGGTGATACCTCCTACCAGCCCCCAGCTAGTTCAGTTTTGTCCATAGTACCATCTTGAACAGCTAGGGTGCACTTGCATATAATTTTAATATTTTGTTCTATTTTTCTTGTTTAAAAAAATGATTAGAAAATGGGAAAATGTGGTACAGAGATAAGTGATAAGAAGCAGGCTTTCATCCATTTCAGGCAAGTGAGACAAAGACAGAAATAATTAGTCCTACTCAATCAGAAGTTCACTGTGAAGGAAAGCAAAAGTAAAAAAGATTCATGAAATGCTGGATAGATATATGTATGAGTGGGTTTTAGAAAAGGGCTACATAATATTTATTATGGGCTTTATAATATCATATAGTCTCCAGAAACAGAAAACTTCCAATAAACTAGAAATCTGGTTTGAAGGGGTTTTTTTGCACATTTAACTAACTTTTTCAGGAATATATTAGACATAAGACCAGAGATTTGCTTGAATGAATTTAAAAGAACCTTGGAAGAAACTATTCTATAAACAAAAGCCTGCCAATTATAAGAGATTTTTGTTACTCGCCCTGCCTGCCTTGATATTCCATTGGCAAATGCTATATTTTTCCTAGTATGACAGTTTTCAACTTCAACTTTTTTTTTTTGGAGACAGAGTCTCGCTCTTTCACCTAGGGTAGAGTGCCATGGCCTCAGGCTAGCTCCCAGCAACCTTAGACTCCTGGATTCAAGTGACCCTACTGCCTCAGCTTTCCCAGTAGCTGGGATTACAGGTGCACACTATCACGTCTGGCTAATTTTTCTATTTTTAGTACAAATGGGGTCTTGCTCTTGTTCAGGCTGGTCTTGTCCTGACTTCAAGCAATCCTCCAGCCTTGGCCTACCAGAGTCCTAGGATTACAGGTGTTAGCCACTGTGCCTGGCCAGTTTTCAACTTTTATTTTTGTTGTTGTTGTTGTTGTATTTTGGCTGGTGCTGGGTTTGAGCCTGCCACGTTTGGTATATGGGGCCAGCGCCCTACTCACTGAGCCACAGGCACTGCCCAGTTTTCAACTTTTTATTACTTTAGGGTAGAACCATTATTTGAAACAAAATGTTTCTGCAAAACTCTAGCATATAAAAAGATTAAACAAGGATCTTTCCAGCTGATGGCAGGGGGAAATGGAGAGATAAGAGAACCTGAGCTAGGTAGGCTGTTCATATGCTCCCCTCTTGTCTATTCACACATAGCCCTGTGGATGCCTCAGCGACAACTGCTATTTGAAGAACCACTGTTCTTACTTTGCTTATGAATAGATTCCAGTTAAAAAGTGTTAAGTTCTTCCCCCAGTCTCACAAAGTATAATGGCCTAGTGTCAGGATTTCATATCTGTGCCTGACTGGGTCTGGGTATCCAAAGGCAAGTTATTCAACCTCAGCATGCCTTAGAATGCCCTTCTGTAAAATGGGACTTATGTTCCTCCTTCTTGAGGTTTTTGGTAGGACTAAATGAGCTAACCTATGCTACTCCTCAAAACAGTTCCTGGCACAGAGGAAGTCCTCTATGGGTATTACCCAATATTATTTGTGAGCTTCTATACTCAAAATTTATGATAATTGTATTAGTGATACAACTAGGCTGGGTTCTCAGGGCATTTCACTCTCATTACTAACGTTCAGTTTTCAGTGGGTTTGGATCCTTTTCTGCTAGTCTTTTAACAGCCTTGTAAAGGCTTTCCCTGTAAAGTAGGCAGGGTGTAAAAGGAGAAAGAGCCTGATATTTAGGGAGTCAGTGTGTTTCCAAGGCTGAAGTCCAGCCAGGATGCACTGGAATGCCCATAGCCACGATGAAAAAAGCTCTGTCCAATGTGGTGGTCACCAGCCACATGCCGCTATTTAAATTTAAATGGTAATCTTAGCCACTGATTTATGACTACAGACATTCCCTGACATACATGTTTTGATGTTACAATGTTGTGAAAGCCATAGGAATTTAGTAAACATTATACTTTGAGTACCCATACAACCATTCTGCTTTTCAGTTTGGTACAGTATTCAATAAATTACATGAGATATTCAACACTTTATTATAAAATAGTCTTAGTGTTAGATGATTTTGTCCAACTGTACTTTTATATACTAGGGTTTTGCAGAAACATTTTGTTTCAAATAAGGGTTCTACCCTAATGTTCAGTAGCTAAGGTATATGATGTTCAGTAGGTAAGGTGTATTAAATGCATTTTTAACCTAATGGTATTTTCAATTTACAACAGATATATTGGGATATAACTCCTTCAAAACTCGAGGAGCTTCTATATTCAACATTCTGACATTTGAAACTTTAGTTCCTCAGTCATAGAAGGCAAATGGAACAGCTCAGTAGCCACAATGGCTGTCATATTGGACAGTGCACATATTGAATATTTCCATAAACACAGCAGGATCTATCGGACAGCAATTCCATGCGACTTGGTAAACAGTTGTGGCTCCAGATTTTCTGAGTGCCTGTGATGATCTTCTGCCCTTTGTCATAGTGTCTTTTCAATTCCCACTGAAAATTATATTTCTATTATATGAGGTCAGTCATTTATATGAGAGAAAAATGTGCCAATATTTGTGTATTAGAGTCAAAGAAGATTTATAATTTTGAGTTCCCTTGGAAGGCTTTAAAAAAATCTAATGGCCAGGCACACTTCAGTCCAATGAAAGCAGAATCTCTGGGAGTGGAACCCAGCTGTGGGCGTGTTTTAAGTTTCCCTAGTGATTCCAATGTGCAATCAATACTGAGAACCACACACTGGTGGTGTGAGAGGGCTTGGGGCTGGTGTGAGCTGCATGTAAGCTAAGGTGAGGCAGGTGTGAGGACTGTTTCTGGAGATGCTGCTGTTTGCTCAGCTCAAGTGAATCCTAGGGCACATTCCACGAGGGTCAACTTCCTTAGGTTACATTGGCTATGCTATGTAAACATCTGGCTTACCTTTATTGTTATTTTGGAATACTAGGGGATAAAAGAGTTTAAACACTTTAAGAGAATTAAATAATTTCTGTGGCTCAAAAAGCCATAAGGAATAATTGTTTTATCCTTTAAATAAATATATGCCAGGTAAGATTTCTGTACAATGAATAATATCTTATTTTTTTGCAGTTTTTGGCCAGGGCTGGGTTTGAACCTGCCACCTCCGGCATATGGGGCTAGTGCCCTACTCCACTGAGCCATAGGCACCACCTTCTTTTTCTTTTTTTTTTTTTTTTGAGACAGAGCCTCAAGCTGTCACCCTGAGTAGAGTGCTGTCACATCACAGCTCACAGCAACCTCCAACTCCTGGGCTCAAGCGATTCTCCTGCCTCTGCCTCCCAAGTAGCTGGGACTACAGGTGCCCACCATAACACCCGGCTATTTTTTGGTTGCAGCCGTCATTGTTGTTTGGCAGGCTCAGGTTGGATTCAAACCTGCCAGCTCAGGTGTATGTGACTGGTGCCTTAGCCACTTGAGCCACAGGCACTGAGCCAATGAATGACATCTTTAATAGCCGAACAAAGTCTCATTAAACCCATAACTAAGGAAGAAGGCCTGGGTGGCACCTGTGGCTCAAGGAGTAGGGCGCTGGCCCCATATACTGGAGGTGGTAGGTTCAAACCCAGCTCTGGCCAAAAAACTGAAAAAAAAAAAGAAAGAAGGCCTAATCATGAATGGGATTTTGATGGTGATTATAAATGCCATGAGATTCTCCTTCATATTATTAAGCTACTATAGGCAAACTAGAGTGGCTTTTTTTCAAGTAGTATTGTAGACTGGATTATACTTGAGGACTTGTAGGAGTATCGTTTTTATACTCTAAGAATGTGTTGTTGTAGTAAAATTATTTAGAACAAGTACAATAGAACCTCCATAGTTGACTACCTCTGACCATTGACCACCTCCTTAAGCTCCTAATTTTCACAGGCCAGACCAGGTACCACATGTACTCAATGGAAGTTCTGCATGTTGACCAGTTCATTACAGTCCCATGGTGGTCAACTTACAGAGGTTCTACTGTATTTATACTTATTACTATTGTTTTTTTTTTTTTTTTTTTGAGACAGAGTCTCACTGTGTCGCCCTCAGTAGAGTGCTTTGGTGTCACAGCTCACAGCAACTCGAACTCTTGGGCTTAAGTGATTCTCTTGCCTCAGCCTCCTGAGTAGCTGGGACTACAGGTGCCAGCCACAAAGCCAGGCTATTTTTTTGTTGCATTTGTTTAGCTGGCCTGGGCTGCGTTAGAACCTGCCACCCTTGGTGTACGTGGCTGGCGCCATAACCACTGTGCTACTGGTGACGAGCCTATTATTGTTTTTAGTTTGAGAGACAAAGCCTTGCTCTGTTGCCCAGGATGGTGTACAGTGGTGCGTTCTTCCGTTTAGCCCAGGAGTTCAACCTCGAACTTCTGGACGCAAGGGATCCTCTTCCTGACTAGTTAGGACTATAGGCACACACTATTACATCCAGCTAATTTTTCTTATTTTTTGTAGAGACAGAGTCTCTTTATGTTTTCCAGGCTGGTCTCAAATTCCTGGTGCTAAACAATCCTGAATCAGCCTCTCAAAGTGCTGGGATTACAGGTATGAGCCACTGCACCCAGTCTTATTTATACTTTTTTATGTAGAGTTAAGAAATGCTTTCCTTACCTTCCTGTGTCCCCCAAAAGAATATAAGTATGAAACCTGCTAGGCATGAACTTTACAAAGTAAAATGAAAGGGAAGGGTTATCTGGACGTTCTAGAATAAAATAAATACTCCAATTTTCTTCTTTGCTGTCAGGGTTTAGAGGCACAGAGGCTATCAGGACAATCAGAGGTTAACCTTGGAGTCAGGGTGAGGCTGGGGCACCTGGGGGTCTTACAGTGTTCCCTGAAGATGCAGCCCTGGTGTCTCAACCAATCATTGCCCTCTTGAAATGCCTGCCCCACCCTGACAGACCAACCTGGATTCCCTTTGCCTCTGCTATGTGGTTTGACTTCCATGTTCTTGATTCTAAGTAGTGCACAGAATGATTAACCCATATAGAAAGGCTACAGTGAATGAATTCACTCTCAGCATCCAGACACAACAAGGAGTTGTGGTGAGATGGACCTGTCAGTCCCTCATACTCTGTGTGCGTTTGATGACAGTTTATGGAGGAAACTTGCTAAAACTGCACACATGAAACTTTTTCTGTTATTGTGATATTATCAGCAATAAACAATCATGTAAAAAAAAAAACTTACCAAGAGACAGGAGGGTTTCTGAGGCCACGGTTCTGATTTCTTCAGTATCAGACTGACACAACGTCACCAGCATTTTAATGCTTTCAGTAGCCTATGGGGGGAAAATAGTTTCAATAGTCTTCTGACATTTAGTTCCACAACAGCTGGCATTTCATAGCTGGTAGGGATAGTAAAACCATCTTACCCAGGTGTCCCCAAACCTAGCTGAGAGTTGGGGTCACTTAGGGGGCTTCCTTAAAAGTACAGATCCCCGGGTGCTACTCGAGATACACTGTGCTGGGATTTCTGGGCGGGGGGAGTCCAGCAGTCATACTTGCGGGATCTCTGATGATCAGCTAAATTCCTCATCTCATGGCAGGTTCCAGGACTTGAGTGATAGGACTAGCCTGCCTTTGCAGAATAGAACCCCCTTTCCCGAGTTCTTTCCACTCTATTTCACTGACTCTAAAAACAGCTCTAATTTAAAAACTCTTAATATTCAGCTTATTTATTAAAATGGAGGGGAATAAAGGTCAATGCTGGAAATTCTTCTATTTGTTTATTCTACAAACATTTATTGAAAAGTTTATGAACTAGAGAGTTCACCATCATGAGTTTCTGCAACAAACCAGCCATAGTCCTAGCCCTCAAGAGTTTAGTGTAGTGGAATGATAGATAAATAAGTAATTATGACAATGAGTGATGGGCTGAGTCAGGGTGCTAGGGCTAAACCTGACTAGGAAGCAAAGCCTGTCTGGTCAGGGAAGTCCTCATCGAAGACGTGATTTCTGAGAGAAGTTAGCCAAGTTCAGGCTCATGGTAGGTAGGTGCATGTTTGTGTGTGGGTGAAATAAGGGAGTGTTTGGGGAAGTGGAGAAGGAAATAAATTCTAGACAAGGGAAATAGCTTGTAACATGGCCCAGAATCCAGAGGTGGCAGAGATATGTTTAAAAGGAGGAGAGCCTTTCAAGCCACATTAAGAGTTTTGGATTTAATTCTAAGTCCATGTCCTAATTCATATTTCATTCTTAACTCTAAAATCATGGAAAGCCAGGAAAGAGTTGTAAGCAGGATTGGTATTTTATTATGAGCGTTTTTTTTTTTTTTTTTTTTGAGAAAGAGTCTTGCTATGTCGCCCTGGTAGAGTGCCATAGTGTTACAGCTCACAGCAACCTCAAACTTTTGAGCTTAAGTGATTCTCTTGCCTCGGTCCTCAGCCTATAGCTGGGACTACAGGCGCCCACCACAACGCCTGGCAGTTGTTATTGTTGTTTAGCTGGTCCAGGCTGGATTCGAACTTGCCAGCCTTGGTGTATGTGGCTGGCTCCGTAACCACTGTGCTATGGGTGCTGAGCTGTATTCTGAGCACTCTAATTACAGTAATGAGGAGGGGGCTTTAAATGATAAGGAGGCAGGGAGGTAGGAAGGTGGCTCTGATCTAGTGAGAGATGCGGCAATAGAGTGGGGGCAGAGAAGAGTGGACAGATTGGACATGGGACCTGCAGGACAGACAACATGGAAGATGAGGTGAGGGAGGCGTCACTGATGACTTCCAGGTTTCTAGAGGGTGCTTATGGGATCCACCAAGACACAAAAGACCAGAGGTGGTGGGTGGGGTGGATGGGGTTTGAGGTAACCTCCTAGGCAAGATTTCTAGCAGCAAGCTGGATAATCAGTGGGAAGGGAAGACCTGGACTGGAAATATTGGGAGTCATTAATGTGTAGGGGATAATAGAATCCATAGGAGCAGATTTTGCCCAGGAAGAACATGTCAGAGGAGAAGAGGGCTCTGCACAGAGCCTTCAACACCAACACTCCGGGCAAGCAGAAGAAAGGGAGCCTGCCTTCTACAGACAAAAGGACTCCTGCTGAGAGTCCTGAGGAATAACAAATTATGATTCCTGAATAACAAACTATATTTATTTATTTATTTATTTATTTATTTTTTTCTTGGAAGAAAGCTAGGCTTATGAAGTGGTAGTGGTGGTGCTGGGTGCCAGAATATGGGAAACAAGAGTGAGCAGCCTGGGAGGACTTTGGGTTACTCCAGCCCAGTGAGACAGGTGGGATACTCAGAAATGGAAGGCCACTTGAGGACCTTCTGTCAAGGTTGTCTCTCAGTTGATAACAGTAAAACATGTGGGGTGTCTGCTTGCTATCATTAATTAAAAAAAAAATTATGTCCCCTGACATGTTGGTTTGGGTGAATGAAATTGTGACTCTGCAGTTTTTCATATCATGCTATGTGGAGCCTTTTTCAGGAGCCAGAGGAGCCAGGGATGGTTTAGTAAGAGGTCTTTTATTTTATTTTTATTTTTTTATTTTTTGAGACAGGGTCTCACTCTGTAGCCCAGGCTAAGGTGCAGTGGCATCATCATAGCTCACTACAGTCTCAAACTCCTGGGCTCACGTGATCCACCTGGCTCAGCCTCTGAGTAGCTGGAACTATAGGCGCTTGCCACCATGCTCAGCTGATCTTTACAATTTTTTTGTAGAGATGGAGTATCACTATGTTGCTCAGGCTGGTTTGGAACTCCTGGCCTCAAGTGGTCCTTCCACCTTGGCTTCCCAAAGTGCTGGGATTACAGGCATGTGCCAACATTCCTGGCCAGAAAGAGATCTTTCAGCTGGCACAAAGGATCCTATCCTCTAAGACAAGGAAAAAGTCAAGGAATCTGGTGCTCCCAGACTTGAGATATGCCAGAGTTTCAAGTAGCCTCTAATTTACTATTTTATTTTATTTTATTTTTTTTAGAGACGGAGTCTCACTTTATTGCCCTCAGTAGAGTGCCGTGGCATCACAGCTCACAGCAACCTCCAACTCCTGGGCTTAGGCGATTCTCCTGCCTCAGCCTCCCAAGTAGCTGGGACTACAGGCACCCACCACAATGCCCGGCTATTTTTTTGTTGCTGTTTGGCCAGGGCCAGGTTTGAACCCACCACCCTCGGTATATGGAGCCGGTGGCCCTACTCACTGAGTCACAGGGGCCACCCAAGTAGCCTCTACTTTAAACTTGATAGTATGTAAATCCATAAAAACCCAGACAGATCACTGTATCCTCATGTCTTCATTTACACTGAGTCTATATGACTGACATCTATCACTGATATGTTATAAGACATCAGAAGAGTGCCTAAATAAATAGCAGTCACTGTGGGACTAT